GACCGCGGAGCAAAGACAGCAACCACAGCACAATACAAGCCCCAGCCAGAATCGAGAACCCAACGGGAATACCTCGAATACCAACACCAACAGGATCATGACCATAAACGTTGAACGCTTGCGTCGGCCAGAACATGAGGATCGAGAAGAAGTTGGCTCCAGAGATGAACGTGATGACGAGTGTCAGCCCAAGAATCCGGGGCTCCTGACGAAGTCTCTTGGGAAACATGGGATGTTTGGCTCCGTAAGTTTCCCAGAAGACAAAGGCGACAAGGAAAGCGACACCCAGAATCAAGGGCGCAAGCACGTGTGCGCTGGACCACTTGTACTGGTAGCCACCCCACTGCATACCCATCATGAATAAGATCATACCAGCAACAGACAGGAAACCGCCGATGTAGTCGATCTGCGCGAGAACCTCTCTGCGGCTCATACCCACGCTGTTGACGCGGGGAGGAGGGTGGTAGAACACGAAGGTCAAGACGAGGCCGATGAAAGCCCAGAGACCTAAGATCGTCAGTTTCCCCTCTCATGCGTCGTTTAGATAACAGGGAAAAGTTCTTACCACACCACATCCCAATCCACCTCCACGCCCCCGGACTCTGACTAGCAATAAGCTGCGCCCAAAGCACACTCGGACAAAACGGCAAAATCGTAAAAACCAATATCGCAACATACTTCCCCCTCTGACTCGTCGGCGCAAGCTCACTCGTCACCGCCAGCGCCGTAAGCTCGTTGATGCCCGCGCCCACACCGCTAAACACCATTCCTGCAATGAAGATATTCATGGAATGGGCGGTTGAGCAGATGATCATGCCGAGGATCAGGAAGCACGCGCCGATCATGGCGACCCACCTGCGGCCCACGATATCGGAGATGGAACCGACGAAGGGGCACACGGCGGCGAGGGAGAGGAGGTTTGCCAGGATAAACCAGATCCAGCGGTCGGTGCCGCCTATGTCGGCGTAGATGTAGGGGGGGACGCCGCCGAAGAGGTAGACGGGGATTTGGCTGCCTGTCCATACTATCGTTGTTGTTAGTGAGGGAACTCCAGTGTGTAAGTGTTTGTGAAGGGTTCTACGCACAGAAAGCCATGGCGACCAACGCCATAAGTCTCTTAAAGTTCATAGGTTGCTCGGCATCGTGGTCCTCGCCGTCGCCGGCTGTCCGTAAGCCATCTTTTTCGTAGTAGTTGGTATGACCGGGGACTTGCTCGTTGGTGTGGATTTGCTCGATGTGGTTGAACGCTGGTTTGGAGGCGGAGGGGGAGTGGTCTGAGACATCTATTGTTAAATTGGCTTAGTAAATGTGTAGGTGGATGTGGAGTTAGGGTGTAGGATTGCGTACCAGAGCCATCGCTGTGGTCTCGCATCGTGTTCTTCATAGTCTACGTATGGAAAAGACTTCGTAGACAGGAATTCAGAGCTTCAACTTTAACAGTACAAACGAAACTGTCAGTTCTGCGAACAACTTTTGTTTGGAGGCTCAGCGGGGCTCTTATGCTATCCATGTAATTGGAACCCACCCTTGCCTTCACCACGCCCCCCTACCAGGGCCGTCCATCACATTCCCCACCCACGACTCAGTCTGCGGGGTATTTCTCACCTAACATCCAGCTAGTCCTCACATCGTCCCTCTTCCTCCATTTCCCTCCATTATCCTCCTTCACACTAGCCCCCAGATCCGTGGTCTAGCCCATTCACCCACCGTCCCCATCCGCGCATCTGGATTCGCTTCTCGCACCACAGCCGCGGTAACTTTCCAACACGCCTACCTGACACTTCCGCCACGTTAACCAGCTAGCCTATCACTTCCTTCCGTACCATGTCCATGGGACACCGGGGGAAGTGTTGAATGGGGTTAGACAAGGTGTTAGCGCACATGTACCCCGCAATTGCTTGGTCGAGCTTGTCGCAACAAGCAAAGAAGCGGCTGAACAAGCTTTTGGCGAGGTTTGTCGATCTGCCCGGGCGCTTCAAAAACCTGGGGATGGGGAAAAGGTTGAACGGGGATCGGCGGGGGACGGTGGGTTGGTGTTGGTAACCTTGGAATGGAGAGGTGGTGCGGCGATTCCGTATGTAAGGAGAGGGCTTCAGCTGGGATGTCACATACGGGTACTTGGGACCACGGCAGTTTCTTCACTCGCTCACTCGCTCTTCGCACAATACACCTCCGCGCGGCTTTCCCCTTCGGCCCTATTCGCGCGGAGAAAAGTCCGCGTTGGATACCCACAGGGGAGTATGGGCTTGACCTGCCCCGTACAGATGCATGGTCTCTAGTCCCGTGAGCTATGCTCGCTCTCGCGTATGTACGATAGCGACACCGGAGTGGATGCTTGATACGCCACAAGTACGGCTGTTCGGCTACGGGGGTCATGCAGACTATGTTGTCAATTCGAGTTGCCTAGGTAGGATGAGAGGATGGGAGAGCTTTGTTGGAAGATAACCGCTGTGCTTTCATTGACATGTATTCGCGCGCTGATGTGGAGATGGATATTGTTTGCTGGTTCTTTTTACCACTATCAATGTAGTTACTTCGGTAAGGGAGGTAATGGCACCTATCATCTCAGACCATCCATTTCCAAGCTCACATTATCCGCTCTCGAGCCATAAACACCCCCATCCAAGATCCACTGCTCATTATCATCATTATCATCCTGCACGCGACGCCAGGTCTGCTTCCTGCCTCCTTCACCCGCATTCTCCTTGCCTTTACTCTCCTGTACCTTGATAGTCGGCCTAATCAGTCCACCCAACAGCGGATTCTTGCTGAACGCCCCGCTCCCACTCGATAGCGTATTCCCATCTCGGGGCCGTTGAGATGGTTCGGGTGGCTCATCTTCGCTCTCGGGTGTAGCCGGCCTCTCGGTAGCAGCCATGCGCTTGACAAGCTTCTTGCCAGAGAGATCGATGCTGGCGACTACTTTGCGCTTTTCGTACTCTGGGCGCGCATTCCAGTCTTGCTCGCGCAGGGCTTTTTGCTGGCGCTTGAGCTGCATGGCGCGTTCTTGGGGGCTGGCCCACATGCTGAGGCCGGCTGTTGTGGTTTCGAAGTCGGCGGCTTCGTCGTGGACTTGAGTTCGTTTGGCGTTTTGGGCTTGGAAGGCGAGCAGCTTGTCTCTGTGCTGTTTTGCTTTTGCGAGCTTCTCGTTCTCAGACTCGACGTCCGAGGCGGGATTGGAAGATGCGGGTGTTCCTGTGCGGGGTGTTGAGAACGGGCGTGGTGCGAGTGAGACATCGGCACGCTTTTGGCCGGCGTTGTTGGCGGCCATCTTCTCTTTTCCGCGCTCTTCGCGGAGAACTCGCACCATGGATTGGATGTCTTGTGCACTGAATAAAGCTGAGTTGCAGAAAGTGCATGGGCCGATGCCTTCCTTTACGCAGATGATCTTTCCGCAGTTCAAGCAGTTTGGCGCAGCTTCGAGCAAAGGATGTCTGGTGGCCATGCAATTGCATTTCCGTTTGCTGTTGTCTTGTGGGGCAAGGGTAGGGTTCGTCTGAATCTCAAGTGCTCTGATTGCGGACTCCAGATCATTGAGTGCCGTCGAGGCACCATGCATGGGCGTGCCACCAGTTACATTAATCTTTGCCTTGGCCTTTGGTTTGGTCTCAGAGATGAGTTGGCCTGGAAGTTTCTTTGCTGGTTGCGGAGCAGGCGAGACACCACGGGATTTGGGGGTTGATGTCCCCGATGACGTAGTGAAGGTTGGTAATTGCAACCCGTCAGGTTGTTCTTGTAAGCCGAATTTAGCAGCCTTGGGCTTTGAGCTACCCGCCATGTAGTCTTGTTCATCTTTTTTGAGATATGCACCAGATACGTTGCCATGGTCCTCTACTTGTCGTGGTGGCGGAAGTTTGTTCAAACCGGGTTTCTTCTTCTTTGGCTTCGCCCTGGGTACTTCTGACATTCCATTTGACACTTGAGCCTGACCAGAGCCGCTGGAAGGCTTCGACTTTCTCCTGTTGTTAAATGAAGAGATAAACTCAAGTGCTTGCGGGCTGTCGCCTAAGAAATTCTGCAGATGGTCCGCTGCTTCTTTGGGCGGTAGTGACTCAGTATACGATATTAGTTGCTTCAGTGACTCATCGTCTAGAGGAACAAGCCTCGATAGCTGGGGCAATGCCCAGTTCGAGAGATCCATGTTCTTGTTGATGAGGTTGTGGTTGCCAGATATTGGAATAGTTTGTTAGCTGTGAATCATCACTCTGAGCTAGTAGCTGTGGCGCAGGCATGTGGCTGGTCTAGGGTCTGTGCTCAAAGTTCACATGGAATTCCAGCTCGTGGGGAAGCTGCCATCACAGTCCTCATACCCTCAACTACACATTCACCATGGCAACCGACATCGCGCTCGATACCACTATTGTACGTTAATCTTCTCATACGATAAATACCTGACTAATCCAACCAGGGCACCATTGTCATCGAACTCTACAACGACCACGCGCCCAAGACATGCAAAAACTTCTCGACGCTCACGCAGCGCAACTACTTCAACGGCCTGATCTTCCACCGCATAATACCAAACTTCATGATCCAAGGCGGCGATCCCACGGGTACAGGACGAGGAGGTGAGAGCATATATGGCGACAAGTTCGAGGACGAGATCAGCCCCCAGCTCAAGCACACCGGTGCAGGCATCCTCAGCATGGCCAACTCCGGTCCGAACACCAATGGCTCGCAATTCTTCATCACATTGGCGCCGACTCCGTGGTTGGACGGCAAGCACACCATCTTTGGAAGGGTCAAGAGCGGGATGCAGATTGTGAAGAAGCTGGGCTTGGTTAAGACAGACAAGGAAGACCGCCCTGTGGAGGAGGTCAAGATTGTCAAGGCATACCTCGTCGACGACGGCGCGATGGCGATGCAGCGATACTAGCGCGGGGGAACGAGATCAGCCAGGCGTCGACGCGATCGCATGACAGAGCGCATCAACGCTACACTCAATGCTTGAACGTGAGTCACTCAAAGATGAAATGTAGATTAATTACTCATACGTCCAACTAGTTCAGAGCTCCATTCGGATGGATCAACACCTTCGTATACCCCTCGATCCTCTTGTCAAACTTCTCGTATGCCGTCGGCGCGTCGTCGATGTTGATCTCGTGCGACACAACGAAGCTCGGCTTAGCCTTGCCCGATACAATCATGTCGCGAAGATACCTGTTGTACGCCTTCACATTACACTGCCCGGTGCCAAGATGCAAGCCCTGCCGTCGTTAGTAGTGGATCACAAATGCGAAACATGGACATACCTTTTCGAATAGCTTGCCGAACGAGATCAAAATTTGGCCCTTCTTGCTCTGCTCATCTGGGGCTCCTGGGTCGGCCGGAACATACAAACCTGGAATACCCAAGCCTCCCGTTGGCCGGGTCACCATGATCAATTGGTCGAGGACAACGTTTGGCTTCTCCTTGCTACCCGACGCGTCCACGGCTTGATACCCGACCGCGTCGACCGCGCGATCCACCATGCCGTCATTGAGCTTGATGATCTGCTCAACCGGGTCGCTCTTCCTGAAGTCAATAGGAATGCATCCGATCTTCTCCGCAGCTTGCAGTCGCTCAGGCACTGTGTCGACTACGAAGACCTTGCTTGCACCTCGTAGGATACCGCTATACGCTGCCATGAGACCAACAGGACCTGCACCGAACACCGCGACGCTTTCGCCGGACTGGAAACCAGCGAGGACCAGCCCATGCCAGCCCGTTGGGAATATATCTGCTAGTAGTATGAAGTCGGCTTCGTGCTCGGTTCCTTTGGGCAGCTTCAGGGCGTTGAAGTCGGCGAAGGGGACGCGGAGGTATTGCGCTTGGCCGCCTTGATACGGGCCCATGGCTACGTAGCCGTAAGCTCCGCCGGCGAAGCCTGGGTTTACTCTGTTCTATTGTTAGGACTGGTGCATGATAGCCTTATTGGAGTTCGACTTACCCGGTACAGAACGCTGTTTTGCCCTCCTCGCAATTGCGACACCTGCCGTCGGCAACATTCTACAATCCATCGCGTCAGCCCTCCGCGATCCACACTACATCTCCACGAAATACTCACAAACGGCAACACAATCCTATCCCCCTTCTCCAGCAGCGTCACGCCCGCCCCCACCTCGATAATCGTCCCCATGTTCTCATGCCCAAACACCAAACCCGCCTCCGCAGCCGTCCGTCCCTGATACATATGCAAGTCCGACCCGCAAATCGCCGCTGTCGTAACCTTGACAATCACATCATCTGGATGCTGTATCTTAGGCAGCTCGACGTCCTTGACTGAGACCTTGAATGGACCCTCGTAGTGCACTGCTTTCATCTTGTCGCTGGACATTTTTGGGGGTTGGCGTGCGCGTCGCGTGCAAATGTGTAGAGGTCAAAGATATGAGATACAAGATACAAGATACAAAGAGTTCGTCGCGACGATAGAACGAGATGCGCGTATATTATCGTGAAGTGGGAAATGGTTGCAAAGGACAAAAGGCACGTTGATCCTCCAACGGAGCCAGACCCAGTCTATGATGTATGACGACCCCTCATCTTCGGTACTTGCAAGCTTGCAGGAGTTGGGACCAGAGCGTCTGGCTGGCGTCATTATTGAGGGGCTGACAGCGGAGGAGTTGTCGATCAAGTGTGGGGTATGGGTTCCGAATCGGAACGAGTGCTTCGGAAACTAGCGCGTTGCGTCGAATGCCGCTTCAGATCACTTGTATTCGCGTGGACTGCCTTCCCGCACGGTAGAGGACTTTGGGGGATCGGTCACGCCGATGTGGAGGCCTCCTTTCGGATTTAGAGTTTAAGCTTTAGAACGGAAGAGGCCTCAACATCGGCGTGGGAGGTCTTGCGCGGTTCTGTGTTGTGCGAAAAACGTGGAATTCTTATCGATTTCTCAGGTCTTCTTTGATAGCGTTCTCAAGGGATGGGGATCATGAGCAAGAGATGAGGAGAACCTCACTGCAGAATTCATGCTTGCTCATTCTGAGCGAAATGTAAAGTGAACACCTTTTCAAGATTTCTAGCTTCCTTGGAGCCATGACTCCTGTGATGTGATATGTTCGAGAAAAGGCCATCATCGTAAGCAGAGTCGTATGAGCAATGTAGTGCCCAGATGGGATATCCCGAATAAAGTCCCGTCCAAACTCCAAATTTCCAAATTCATCCCGCATGCCAGAGATATACGGGAATGATCATACCCACCTCACCACCTACCTCCAATACAACCCACCTAAACCAAACCCACAAGCGCCTCATTCAACCTCCCCAACCTTCCCCTAACCTTCTCCACCCTCTCTCCCACTACACTCATCCCTCCATCCTCCTTCCCTGCCACCGCAACCTTCACCTCCACCTTCTCATCAGCCAACAACGCCTTCTTAACATCCTTCTCCCACCTCCTCTTCCACATCCCCCTATAATTCACAACACACTGCCTAACCCAAACCCTCCACCACACCTCCTCCGCCCACCTTACTAACACCCCATCCGTTGCACCAGCATACTGCGCATCCGTCCATGCCATCGTGAAGTCCTTGTCGCGCGGCACGGTGGCGAGGTAAGGTGTGCCGGTGGAAGCGTCGAAGTGTGTCCAGCGGAAGAGACAGAGCAGTTTGGCGGCGGCGGACATGTTGGGGGGTGGTGGGGAGGCGGAGAATGGGAGGGGTGGTGTGTAAGGGAGGGCGTCGACGTGGAGGGCTGGGGAGGGGGAGGTGGTGGTTGATAGAGATGGGGAGAGGGGAGGTGGGACTAAAGCGCTCGGTGAGATCGGCGAGGCATCGGGAGATGAGCCGGGTGTGAGCGGTGGTGTCAACGGCGGTGTTAGCTCGCCTGTAGCTGTGGGTTCGAGATCGGGTGTCTGCGGCTGAAGCTGTTTGACTATGATGATTGGAACGGGTACGTCGCTGCTCCAGCCATTCTTACCAGTTGGAATGGCTTGGGTGATAAGCTCGCGCAATCTCTGCTCTTCGCGCTCTTTGACCCATGCGGCGCGCTTGGTATAGTATGCGGTTGCTACATGCGGGAACATGGTGAAGACTTTGTTGCGGACAGCTGCTCTGGTGCTGGTTTGCCATACTGAGAGGTCTTGATCGACGTACTCGTGGGCTTTGCTACCGGGCTTTTCGGGGTCTGTAGTCTGCTGAATGGGACGGTAGCCAGGGTAATGCTGCGGAACCCATTCTTTGATGAAGTGTGTCCAGTACGGTGCGCGGTCTTCAAGTCGGTCGTTATACTTTTCCTCGGCCAGTCGTGCGGCGAAGTGGCCTGGGTGGAAGAGCCAGGAGCTAGCCAAGTACTTGTAGACTGAATATAACATCAGCAAACGTCACAAACAGCGCAGATCAACAACTTACTCTCCTCCTTAGTCTTGAATCCCCCATTCAAAATCCTCCAATCCAAACCCACAATCCGCAGCGCATCTTTCGTATCCTTGCTAACCCACACCATGCTACCAGGAAAATTCGTCTCTTCCATCTCTTCAACACGGACATGTATACCCTCAGGATCCATAGTAAGACCCAGCGGCTTAACCATACTGCCGATCATCTTGCTGTTACTTGCGTAGTTGAGCTCGAAGTGACACCAGTGAAACAACTCCGGCTTGAAGCAGACTTTGACATCGATCTGGATGAAGTAGTTCTCTTCGCCGTGGGGCGAGTCGATGGCGAAGTACATGCAGTCTCTGGTGAGAAAGCCTTGGCGTCCATGTGTGGTATCGAGGACGTCTTTGATGAGAGAGACGGTGCTTTGCCAGGGGAATGTGTCGAGTGTGGTGGTGCCTTTGAAGTGGAGAGGGGAGCAGACTAGGAAGTCGACGTCGCCGTAGTCATCCTGTGGGTGTCAGCAGGTGAGCAGCGTGTGAGATGTGTAGTCATACCTTGCCGGGCATCTCAGTCGGTACCACGACTTGCGCGAAGACAGTCTGCAGCGCGGCTTTCGTCTCTGCTTTGACCCTCTCGTAGACCAATGGGGAGATGCGGGGACAATACAGCCCTTTGAAGGCGTGGCCGCCCATCTCGTGCAACGATCGAGGGGAAGACAGTTTTCAGTGTTAGTCGACCTCTTACTGAATGATGAAAGCGTCTGATTCGAAATGAACGATGAGAAGACGATGGATGTTTAGAAGATCAAGAAGCTGCACTTCACTTTGTATTGCTCTAGCGGGCTGCAGGATGGAGTAAAGGTAAGAACAGCTGAGCGGTGCCAATTGCGGTAAGAGAGTATCAGACGACATGGCAAGTGCCCAGCGGAACAAACATGGCAACTGTGTACGCGAACTTGATCCCATCGAACGTCACCTTTACCTGGAGGCATCGAATCGTGCCAGTGTTACATCAAGCAACCGATCGCCATAAACGTGTTGTTGTGTCTCGATCCTGTTGGAAAAGAACAAGACTACACCAGACTGTACGGGCATAAGCGCGCAACGGATTTCGTAGACAATGATCCTCGTGAGATGTACTGCTCCAAAATGTGACTTGCAACTCAGAGGCAGTACCTGATAGAAGCGCTCACCAAGATCTGGTAAGATTGCTGTACTGCATTCACATCGTCCTTAGGCTTGTGAACAGATGAGAGTGCGCCTTGCCTGCAGCCTTGCAGCCTACCTCCCCATACTATTCTGCGTCGCATACTTGTGGCGTTCAAAAAAAACGATTGGGCGAGGCTGCTCTATGTCACCCTCACCATCACCGCTTCTGCGGCGCAGCAGTGCCACTAGCGCTAAGCCAGAACACATATCAACATCGCACTCACCACCACTCCATCTTCAACCAACTACCACCAAAGAAGCTGACAACATGGCGATGGCATGTCTCCAAGCGATCCTCGCCTGCTTCCCCTGCGGCACCGAGGAGCCGGAGCACACCACTTACCCCGACGAGAAAGTCGCCTTACTCTCCGCCGCTACCTCTAACACCCACCCTACAGACGAGGTCACAGATGAGATCGCAGACTCCGTCGTCGAAAAACTCCTCACGACCCGCCTCACCGGCGCCCACCTGCGCATGCACCTAGACGCCCTCGTCGGCCCCTCCGGCTGGCGCACCACGCTCGCCCAACACATCCTCTCGCGCCTCACCACCGCTCTCCGCGCGTCGCACGAAGAACTCGGTCCCACCATCTCCAGCGCCTGCGACACCGCGTGGGAAGCCGCCCAAAGCATCGAGGGCTTCGTCATCGAGCACCCCGTCATGTGCACCGTCATTGCCCTGGGCGTCCTCGCTATCGTCGCGCCGTGGGTGTTGGAAGCGCTTGGTTTTGCTGAACTGGGGCCGGTTGAAGGTACGTGTAGTATGATAGTATGAGAGTATGACAGTATGGGTGTTACTTCCCCTTCGTTTCCAGTGAGCTGGGAATTGGGAATCCGGGGATGGAGATGCGACAGTACGTTCCGTGGAACTCGACAAAAAAGCAAAAAGAAAGATTCGTGACTAAGAAAAGCGGTTGGAAGGAAAAGGACACGGAAATGTCAAGCGAATTGAACGGGAAGAAAATGATTTGAACTTGGGATAAAGCGCTAACACGTGAAATCAATGCAGGTACCTTCGCCTCATGGTGGCAGTCCACCTACGCCGGCCTCGTACCAAAGAACTCGCTATTTTCCTTCTTCCAGCGGTTAGGCATGACCAAGTGGCATTGGGTGCTCGTCTAATCCAATTCATGGTCCGGATGAGGGGTTCGTCAGCTTCGGTTCGCTCCTTCCTTTCTCGTCTCGTCTCGTGTCCTCCTGTCGATGCGAAAACAGACCACTTTCCGTGATAAACGAGATCAAGGAACCTTGGAAGCGGGCTGCGGGGAAAGCACCAGAAGAAGCGGCAGATGACGCAGTTGGTATAGGTCGAAGGATTTGAGGAGATTGGGATGTCGGCTCGCGTATCTTGCATGATGATGCACGCGCGTGATGGATTGACATGGTTGGCATTGTGCTGTCTGCCGTCGTACGTAGTAGGATAGTAGGGCGCCTAACTCAATCCTTCCAACTTCCCCCTCTCTTTTCCAATGTCTACGTCCTTGATTAGTAGTTCGCCACCTAACCTTACAAGGCAGTGACAATATCCTGAGGCTCTGCTACCCGCAGGTGTCATCGCAATTTCCCCACACACCGTTCTACGTCATCCCACATGTAGTTGAGGGACCCGTCGATGATGGAGGAACGGGCAATGTTTCGAACTCAATATAGCAATGGCAATGCGAAGCGAAGCGCAAAGTAAAAGAAAACGGTTCCCGCAACCCGCTTCCCGCGCTGTCACTGTTACAGCCTTTTGCGAAAGTCTACCAAACATCCAACTTTAATTAAGATTAATCATGGAAACACAGACGCTGCAGACAAAGCGCACG